TAGTTAAAAGTACATCACCTTTGGCAAAACAGACGCTTTTGATTGAAATAAGTTGACCGCACCCAAATGCTATATGGTGAAGGTCTTTAAAAGGGGGTCCGCAACCCCTAGGGGGTCCATGGAGGTCCTGTGTGGAGGTCGCGAAAGCTTTGGTTGATTAGACTTTTTTTTTTATATTTACCCCTGCAATTTTTTCCAATAATTGAAATGTCTGGAAATACACATTAACATGTATTCAACACACTGTAAACAGATAGTAGACCGATAAATGGAGGCAGAAGATGTCTTTCAGTCATCAATGCGACACAAAGAAGCTCTTTCAAGCTGGGCACCGTTTCATTCACAACACCTGTCCCATTAACAAGGAATCAGAATCAGAAATACTTTAATAATCCCAGGGAGAAATTACTTTCGTTACAGGACTCCATCTGTAATAGAGTGACTATAGGACCAGTTTGATATGACAGAATTTCATACAATATATATAATTAGGGGGTCCCTGCTCCATCTCATCATCAGTTTGGGGAATCTTGCCTATGTGCAGATATCTAATTTACAAAATTATTTCTTGGAAGTTTCACTGTAAGTAGAGAAAATAGCAAAGAGCATTTATTTTCATACTCAAGACTAAATCTCATAAATTTGAATGGGAATATAAATGCATGTAAAGAACCCACTGAACCTCTTCACACATCATTACGTTACAACCACAAACAAGCTATTTGTTTTGTTTGGATTTTATTTGGGTTTATAAAGTGGCTTTTTGCTGCACCTACAGCTGCAGCTCTCAGCAGGTTTTTGCCCACATTATTAGCAAAGTAATTGAGGATGAGAGAGATCAGACGGGGAGCATCTTTTACCAGCAGTTGTCTCTTTTTGCAATAAATTCTCTGATGGCTTTGATCTAAACCATTTTATTGCAGCTCTGTGTACATGTTCTTTAGAAGGACTTTCCTGTTGGAAGATGAACCTCTGCCCTTTTCCTAAGCACAGCTTTTTCCTCCAGCACTACCCTTTATTTTGCTCCATTCATATTCTCATTAGTTCTAATGATTTTCTCTGCTGTTTCTGAAAAGTTGGCTCCCCAACATCATGATACGGCCAACAACATGTTTCACCGTGTGGATGGTGTCTTCATGACGGTGTGCAGACATTCAGTAGTTTTGCATGGAGGCCTAAAAGATAACTTTAGTCTAATCTGATCAGAGGATCTTGTTCCACACATTCATGTTTTCCCCTACATGGATTTTTGTCCCCACATGACAAAGTGTAAAAATAATCTCCCTTTAACAATTTAACAATGGTATTTTGATTCTAACTTTGCATGGTGTGTTGTAGCTTAATCAAGTCTTGAAATGTTTCTTCCTGACCTGTCTACTGTGATGCTTGGACATTTTAATTCTGTTTGTTCTCTAATAAGCCCCATGGGCTTATTAGAACTGACACATTTATTACTCTATAGCGTGGCATGTTCTTACAACTTCAATCAAATCCACCAGAGCATGAAGTATTCTCCTGCCGAGAGCATGAGTTGATTTTATTCATACCTTTCTAACTCTTAAAGGAATAGTACACCCAAAACATGATTAGCCTTCATTTTCTACTCACCCCCATGCTGAACAACACTCTGGAGTACTTTTTTGATATCTCAAATGCATCTGGAGATCTGGGAGGCTTCTTGCTGTCTGCTGACATTCAAATAATGGAGGTCTATGGCGCCCGAGGCAGAAAGGTCCATAAAAGTCCACAAAAAACGTGTCAATATTCCTCCATACTGCTCGTCCAATGTATTCCAAGTGTCCTGAGTGGGTAGCATCCAGAATTTACTCGAAACGAAGTCATTTAGAATGTTTTTAGAGCATAAACAGTAGTGTATAGGATTTCCTAAAAGCGCGTTCAAGAGTCTACGGAAACCGCGGCAGACCAAACCAGACGAAAGTGCACATTCAGCTCGGCAAAGAACTCATGCTCTTCCTCAACACTGAAGTCCTCAGACATTTTTCTTTCGTTGTTTCTTTCTTTGCACAGGTAAACAGCACATTTCTTCTTCTACGCTTGCATTATTGGCAGAGCAGACGCTGAATGCGCACTTTCATCTGGTTTGGTCTGCCGGCTTCCGTAGCGTCATGAACGCGCAGGTGCGCGCTTTCAGGAAATCCTATACACTACTGTTTATGCTCTAAAAACATTCTAAATGACTTCGTTTCGAGTAAATTCTGGATGCTACCCACTCAGGACACTTGGAATACATTGGACGAGCAGTATGCAGGAATATTGACACGTTTTTTGTGGACTTTTATGGACCTTTCTGTCTCGGGCGCCATAGACCTCCATTATTTGAATGTCAGCAGACAGCAAGAAGCCTCCCAGATCGCAAGATGCATTTGAGATATCAAAAAAGTACTTCAGAGTGTTGTTCAGCATGGGGGTGAGTAGAAAATGAAGGCTAATCATGTTTTGGGTGTACTATTCCTTTAAGGCTGTTGGCTGAGTGGATTATATCTAGGAGCATCAGAGTAAAGGGGGTTGAATAGAATTAATGTGAAAATTTGCTGTTAGCTTTTGTAGAATATTTTGAAACCAAATATCCTTTTTGTTCCACTTTACAATTATGTGTTAGATTATAGTGACCTGTCACCTAAAACTCCAAATTCTGATTAGAAGGAAGGTGGAAGGTTATAGGGACCTGATTTCCTTTGCAAGGCATTTTCTTTTCTTTCATTTAATGTAGATCCAGCTATAAACCAGATTGACATCAATGTCAGCTGTAGTTAGACAAGTTCTGCAGGGCAAGGCAATAAACAACAAGGCAGTAATTCAAATTGAATCAGACACAATGATCAATGATGTTATGCCTGTCATAATATTAAGATCAGAGAGGCAGAATTTGTGTCACCATCGAAACAGGTCTTGACAAATTACTTTTCTCCTGGAAGGTTGACACGTTCCACAGAAACCCTTCCCTACCAAAACATAAAGTGTTATTATAAAGATGACACATTTATAACTCTATAGCGTGGCATGTTCTTACAACTTCAATCAAATCCACCAGAGCATGAAGTATTCTCCTGCCGAGAGCATGAGTTGGTTTTATTCATACCTTTCTAACTCTTAAAGGAATAGTACACCCAACACATGATTAGCCTTCATTTTCTACTCACCCCCATGCTGAACAACACTCTGGAGTACTTTTTTGATATCTCAAATGCATCTGGAGATCTGGGAGGCTTCTTGCTGTCTGCTGACATTCAAATAATGGAGGTCTATGGTGCCCGAGGCAGAAAGGTCCATAAAAGTCCACAAAAAACGTGTCAATATTCCTCCATACTGCTCGTCCAATGTATTCCAAGTGTCCTGAGTGGGTAGCATCCAGAATTTACTCGAAACGAAGTCATTTAGAATGTTTTTAGAGCATAAACAGTAGTGTATAGGATTTCCTAAAAGCGCGTTCACGAGTCTACGGAAACCGCGGCAGACCAAACCAGACGAAAGTGCACATTCAGCTCGGCAAAGAACTCATGCTCTTCCTCAACACTGAAGTCCTCAGACATTTTTCTTTCGTTGTTTCTTTCTTTGCACAGGTAAACAGCACATTTCTTCTTCTACGCTTGCATTATTGGCAGAGCAGACGCTGAATGCGCACTTTCATCTGGTTTGGTCTGCCGGCTTCCGTAGCGTCATGAACGCGCAGGTGCGCGCTTTCAGGAAATCCTATACACTACTGTTTATGCTCTAAAAACATTCTAAATGACTTCGTTTCGAGTAAATTCTGGATGCTACCCACTCAGGACACTTGGAATACATTGGACGAGCAGTATGCAGGAATATTGACACGTTTTTTGTGGACTTTTATGGACCTTTCTGTCTCGGGCGCCATAGACCTCCATTATTTGAATGTCAGCAGACAGCAAGAAGCCTCCCAGATCGCAAGATGCATTTGAGATATCAAAAAAGTACTTCAGAGTGTTGTTCAGCATGGGGGTGAGTAGAAAATGAAGGCTAATCATGTTTTGGGTGTACTATTCCTTTAAGGCTGTTGGCTGAGTGGATTATATCTAGGAGCATCAGAGTAAAGGGGGTTGAATAGAATTAATGTGAAAATTTGCTGTTAGCTTTTGTAGAATATTTTGAAACCAAATATCCTTTTTGTTCCACTTTACAATTATGTGTTAGATTATAGTGACCTGTCACCTAAAACTCCAAATTCTGATTAGAAGGAAGGTGGAAGGTTATAGGGACCTGATTTCCTTTGCAAGGCATTTTCTTTTCGTTCATTTAATGTAGATCCAGCTATAAACCAGATTGACATCAATGTCAGCTGTAGTTAGACAAGTTCTGCAGGGCAAGGCAATAAACAACAAGGCAGTAATTCAAATTGAATCAGACACAATGATCAATGATGTTATGCCTGTCATAATATTAAGATCAGAGAGGCAGAATTTGTGTCACCATCGAAACAGGTCTTGACAAATTACTTTTCTCCTGGAAGGTTGACACGTTCCACAGAAACCCTTCCCTACCAAAACATAAAGTGTTATTATAAAGATGACACATTTATAACTCTATAGCGTGGCATGTTCTTACAACTTCAATCAAATCCACCTGAGCATGAAGTATTTCTCATGCCGAGGAGCAATCAAACTTTCCATAATGACACTTTAGCTGAAAAGCAGCTTAAGACCTCCATTATCATCATTTAGCTGAACAAGCTTCTGCAGAAGCAGCACTGACAGGAGGAGCTGTGTTTCATTAGCATATGCTATTGTAGCTGAGGGAACTATTAAATGCGCTATTATTGGAAGCATGCACAGAAGCAGTGAAGGGATTGAGATTTTTCATCACTTTAATTGCTTTTCTGTGTGCAGACATCAGTCTAATGAAAACAGTCAGGACTTTGTAACAGTTGACCATCGCAGAATTAAACTCCAGAGCTCCCAAAGGCCACAGCCCTGTGCATGCTTTAAACACCAACTCATTGTCATTTTTTTCTTCTGTTTTAGATACACGAAATATTTGAGTGTCACGCATGTGACAAAAAATTCATCTCAACCAACCAGCTCAAACGCCACATGATCACACATTCCGGTAAGACAAACACTGCGGCTGTGTCCGAACATCCGCCCTAACCCATAATACAGTGGGGACTATATAGTGGACTTTATAGTGAACTCATTTAACTGATAGATCGGACAGAGGATCACTACTTTTCACTCCACGTTGGTGACATAACACCGCCTCCCGCACGGTGTTTGCGCCATCTTTGTTATTAGTCTCCTCTGTCGGCAGTGACAGCCATAGGCAACAGAGAGCTGCAAAGCATTCCGGGAAATATCTGCTCATCTAGTGACCATGGATGATCACTACTTTTCAAGGTGCTTTTTGGAAAGTTTTGAGTCCACTACATTTTTATCCACTAGACATTCAGACACTCATTGAAATTGGCATGACCACTATATGGTGCCCTATATAGAGATTAGGGAGGAGAATCGGACACAGCCTTCATTTACATTGACTGTTTAAAACCTTTTTTGTCTCTCTGTCTGAAGTTAAACCACACTAAGTTTATGTTCACACTGCAGCCTGAAGTGACCCAAATCCAATTTTTTTGGCCCATTTGCGACCTGGATCTGATCTTTTCATGGCAGTCTGAACAACACAGATCAGATTTTTTCCAATCCAACCCAGGCCACTTGGCTATGTGGTCCTGAATATGTCACGAATCTGATCTTTTCAAATGCGACCTGTGTCTGAACGGCCAGGTTGCATTCATCCGATCTGAACGACATTATTACCCGACAGTGGTCAATATTCTGCATCTTGCTACGCAGAAGCGGCAAGAAAAACAACAACCATGGCAGGCGATAATGTTGAGAGCAGTATTTATGTTTAACCATATTGAAAATATTGGGTTTTTACGGTTGGAATGGATCGCTAGATGCGCACGGCACTACCATTCATGTTTACTTCCATAAACACAGAGCATGCTGGCGTGTGACGTCATTGCGTCCACTACTGCGCATGCTGGACACTTGCGTTGTATGACTGCAGTTCACACAGGAGATCACATACAAGTCGCATATATCTGGAAATATGAATGGGAATGCAAAAAAATCGGGTTTCGCAAAAAAATCGTAATTGAGCATCAAGGCCTGCAGTGTGAACGTAGCCTAAAAGTATTTCCCTTTTGCTAATGACAGTTTTTATAATTTTACAATACTGAATACGAGTTTGACCAGATTTCCTGATTATTTGGTAGCAGTGCTTTTGAATTGTATGAGCTGGATTACATATTTTTAGTTTCCTTTCACACCTTACCTATGACTTGTGGACTTTTGAACCTTTCCTCCTGACAGAACTGCTGTAAATGTGTCCGGTTTGTTAGCTGTCTTTACGTTTTTTACTTTCTGCTTTTTTTGTCTATAAATCCATTTTAGATACTTATTTGGCTTTATGCTTAGTTTTGCAATAAATGTGAAAGTCCTGCTACCTGCCAAGCTTTGACTCTCAGACCACAGGCTCTATCTCCAAACCAAATTGTCTTGGTTTATGAGAGCATATACGAACTGTAATGTGGCTTTTTGCTTTTGAAGGAACTGTATCTACCTAATTCAGTGGCCTCTTAAAGGAATAGTACACCCAAAACATGATTAGCCTTCATTTTCTACTCACCCCCATGCTGAACAACACCCTGGAGTACTTTTTTGATATCTCAAATGCATCTGGAGATCTGGGAGGCTTCTTGCTGTCTGCTGACATTCAAATAATGGAGGTCTATGGTGCCCGAGGCAGAAAGGTCCATAAAAGTCCACAAAAAAACGTGTCAATATTCCTCCATACTGCTCGTCCAATGTATTCCAAGTGTCCTGAGTGGGTAGCATCCAGAATTTACTCGAAACAAAGTCATTTAGAATGTTTTAGAGCATAAACAGTAGTGCATAGGATTTCCTGAAAGCGCGCACCTGCGCGTTCACGACGCTACGGAAGCCGGCAGACCAAACCAGATGAAAGTGCGCATTCAGCATCTGCTCTGCCGATATTGCAAGCGTAGAAGAAGAACTGTGCTGTTTACCTGTGCAAAGAAAGAAACAACGAAAGAAAAATGTCTGAGGACTTCAGTTTTGAGGAAGAGCATGAGTTCTTTGCCGAGCTGAATGCGCACTTTCATCTGGTTTGGTCTGCCGCGGTATCCGTAGCGTCGTGAACGCGCTTTCAGGAAATCCTATACACTACTGTTTATGCTCTAAAAACATTCTAAATGACTTCGTTTCGAGTAAATTTTGGATGATACCCACTCAGGACACTTGGAATACATTGGATGAGCAGTATGGAGGAATATTGAAACGTTTTTTGTGGACTTTTATGGACCTTTCTGCCTCGGGCGCCATAGACCTCCATTATTTGAATGTCAGCAGACAGCAAGAAGCCTCCCAGATCTCCAGATGCATTTGAGATATCAAAAAAGTACTCCAGAGTGTTGTTCAGCATGGGGGTGAGTAGAAAATGAAGGCTAATCATGTTTTGGGTGTACTATTCCTTTAATCCAAGTTGCAAGTGTACTGGTTTCACTCCATATATTCCCAAATTATGTTCATATATATCTACAGATTACACCTCACTGCTGAACTGTGTGATATATTTTCCTAATTGCATATCATTGTTTAAACCAATACAAGAATTGCTTAAACACAGATTTAATCAGATTTTCTAGAAAATAATCAAATATATTCTGAAGTTTGTTGTTTTCTGGCATTATGGGAATAGAATTTAAATTGTGAATCCCAACTGACCAAAGGAGAAAAAAGTTATTCTCATTTAAACTCAGACAACAATTAAAGTATTCCCAGATGTCTTTTCATACATGTATAAATATAATGTTCAACCAATGCATCCCTCAGAGAAGCGACCGTACACCTGCGAGATCTGCAGTCGATCATTCAAGCGTTTGGATCAGGTGACGGCTCATAAGATCATCCACAGCGAGGATAAGCCGTACAAATGCAAGCTGTGTGGAAAAGAGTTCGCTCACCGCAACGTCTACAAGAATCACAAGAAGGTGAGGAAATGTAGAATCAGATCTATTGGTGGTCCTTTAACAAGTTGGGTAAAAGTAGGAGTTCCTCTTCTTGTATGTCTTCTCCAGTGTTTTCTTTAAAAGTTAGTCATTAGCTGCTGTAATCAATCAGGGTCTCGTTGCTGGTTGTTATCTGTGAGGTCTCTGGCCCTTTCCAACCTCCTGGGTTTCTTGTGTTTGCTTTGGGGATTAAGGTGTCATTCAGACTGATGGGCGGCTGGCTGGGTGGGTGGATGGATGGTGAGAGTAGGTTCAAAGTAAAACAGAAGCCTTTTGCTCAAGAACCAACTCGAGTCGCTCATCTTCATTAACTCAGCAAACCAAACTGGGTATTGCTGGTACATTTGACCCATTAAAATCAGATGATAAAGCCTTCTTAAAGGCCCAGCTGAGGGAGGAGGCGGCTCGCCTTGCACATTATATAAATGCTGATTATGGCCCTCTCTTCCCTGCAGACCCACTCCGAGGAAAGGCCATTTCAATGTGAGGAGTGTAAAGCGCTGTTCCGCACCCCCTTCTCTCTGCAGCGCCACCTTCTGATCCACAACAGTAAGTTTGGTTGTGACCTTGTTTTTGAAAGCTTGCTCTCTCATGTACATTCTCTCATGTCTATTGCAAATCTTTTTACATGAGCTTTTTGACATTTTACAGCCACAAATCTCAATCAAACTGACTCATCTAAGGCTGATTTCTCTGTCAAATGTCTAAAGTTAAGTCATATTTGAAATGAGAATAACTGCTGAGATATAATTTGAGGTTAAGAGAGTAAAGACCACATTACCATATTTTCCAAACACACATTACTTAAGAAATCTTTTTTTTTTATATAGATATTTACCATTTAAACCAGGGTCTGGTAGCTAAAACCTCAGCAACGCATCCTTGTCTACTGTTAAAAATGCCCTTTGTGTTGAAATCCTGCTGTTTTGTTCTCTGATACTTGAGCAGGATGGTCAGCTGGGGTATTTTCTCTTTAAGAGCACCTTAAGAGAAAATTGCTTTAGTTCCCAGTGTGAGACAATCAAATTAGGTGCTGCCAAAAAACAAAGAATACATTGGATGGTTCAAAAGTTATAAATATTAGGCTGATTTCAGGTTAACCAATGCTATCAAACAGTAGCAAACACATGGCACTATCAATACCAGACTCATTAGAGCTGCAGCTGCAGATTTCTGGAGTGTATTTTCTCAGACTAATGAGGCATGTAATTGCATTTGAATGCAACTGAAAGGAAGAATTTGTTGCATCCTCTTTGAAAAGCAACATAATCTCACTATACACTATTGTTTAGGTTGCTTCCTGGCTAAAAAATGAATTTATTTGGTGCAATAAGAAAACTCATAGGTAAAAGTATCAATGTATGCCTTCCTTTGATTTATTATTTCAATCCAACTAGAAACATGTCAATTAAAGACTAGAATGTGCTCCAGAGGGGTGAATGGGGGAGAGGCGTTAACGTTTCCAACCCTGTTTCCCTTCAATCGAATGGATGGATGACCAAAAATTAAAAACAAAAGATCTAGGTCTATATTCTCCCAAGCAGTGGTCCAAAAATGTTACCTTCATCTTAAACCAGAATTGAGTTTGTATACCCAAGTGTCCCAAAGTTTTAGGAGTTGTCATCCTATCCTAGTGTCTGATTAACAACATGTGTCTTTTCCCTCTAAGATCATCATACTGATTGAAACTGTGGTTTAGGCTTGGCAGGGTGCAGTTCTAATTCTCACACAGAACCAGATAACAAAGGAGGTTGTAAAACTTGAGGCATTTCCTGCTGCTTTCCCAGGTGGCAGGCAGCATATTACCAGATTTCACAGCTCTGTGGGAGTGAGAATGACATTATTAATCTATTTTCTATAAGTGCATTTCCACTATTCTGCCTTTAACGTTCAGCCCCCCCTTACCTGTTCAACTGGAACTATTAATCTCTCCTGGAAGTTTGTTATTGCCATGCATAACCCATCTGTTCATGTTCATGTAAGGTTTTCGCCTTCCACTAATTCGATCTTCATCAGTGATTCAGATTGAAAAACAATTCATCTACACTGATTTTGAGTGGTACTTTTATTGTTCGCAATAAATAAATTAATGAGTGAGGCATCTTCATCGTACCACAGAAAAATGTGAAATCAGTCCAATAACATATACACCTCATTTTATATCACAGCACCATTTTGAAACACAAGTAAGCAGATGAAATCCTTGTTAAAAGCTGTTAGTGTGATCAATTTTGCATTAATTGCACTAATCTTAACATCCTAGATTGTATAAACAAAAAATAAATGTTTCCAATGTCTTGGGAAAAAAAAAAAAAAGATTTTCAATGATGAAACTACAATAATTTTTTCATACATTTTGTGCTTTCACTTTGATTAAGGCTGAATATAGCAAATTTCTCACTTAATTATGAGTCTTTTCTCCTTCATATGTCCATTATCTGCATTCATACATTATTACCAATAGCTTACACTACCACAACCATAATGAAAGCATGTAAACACTCTTCTACAGTATAATGACTAAAAGTAACCATGGATATTCATCTTCCTGCTGCTGTCTTATATCTTTTAAAGAAAACCAGTTTGAACCTTTTTCTAAACATCCTCACTCTTCGACTTTAATTCATAACTTAATTTCTTCCATACTTTCACACAATCATTCTTTTGAAATATGCTGGGGAAGATTCTCAGTCATCCAGGTCATAGTCATTACGAAAAGGTTAAATGCAATCCACTGGACTTTGTTTCCAAGTTTGATGATGTTTCGTTTCCCATCCAGGAAGTTTTTTTCAATTCAAAAAGGATTCAAAGGATTCTAAGTTTTGAATTGAAAACCCTTCCTGATAGGCTTGTCCCGATCCAATCCACGTATCGGATCGGAACGCCGATATTGGCAAAAAAATGCGTATCGGCAAAGCATTTAAAATGCTGATCCAGACTGCCGATCCAGTTTAAAAAAAAAAAAAAAATCTGGTCCGTATTTTCCAGTTTTGCCGATTGAAACGATCCATTCCACTATTTTGCGCCAGTGTTTCCCTGTTTTGCATTTTTATTAAAACTTACAGTAATATACCACCTTTAACTGTTTACGGTTTTAATGTTCACTGTGCAATTTCGGATTGCTATTCATAATTTTGTCCAGTTTGTGTTTATCTCTTAATAAACAGGTAAGTTTGTTGTTACCAAGCATTGTGTTTTATTCAATCTCACCTAATTTAGCTGGCTAGATGTTATCAAGAGTACTAAAACCCTTTTCAACATGAGTCTTACAACTAAGGCTAAATACTTTAACTTAAACTTAAATACATGCTCGGATAGGCTGGTATCGGCCAGTATCGGTATCGGATCGGAAGTCCAAAAACAATATCGGTATCGGATCGGAAGTGCAAAAACCTGGATCGGGACATCTCTACTTCCTGAATGGGAAACAAAACATAATCAAACTTGGAAACAAATTCCAGTGGGTTATTTTTTAACCTTTCTGAAATTCTTTTGAAATGCACATGCTTCCATATTTGTCTGACATGTTAGATTTAGAAGTTTAGTTTAAACTCTAAAACTATAACATCCCTCCCTCTCAATAGGAAGTTTCTGCATGCTGTCAGGTGCAGCATTTCTAGCTTTACACACGAATTGTAAGTTTCATATTTTAAAAGTTTTTTTAAAGAAACAGCAATAAATGAATAAAGGATTATTGTTGCCATGATAACCAGCCTTATGTTTTATTCTGATGGCGCCTCTCTATAGCGTGCATAGAGGATTGAGTGATGTGCTGTAGGCTTTACCCCAGACTTCTACATAATACCTGAGGTAGGGTAAAATCATTAAAGAGCAGAGAATGTGTTATGCTCCGTTCCACCTCTACCTCATCTATTATATCTATATTTCCCTTTTTTTGTCAAGAAAGTTTTTTTTATTTTATTAATTTCTGGTTTGATATCGTCTAAGAGCTACTATAAACACTCACCAGTATAGAAAATATTATTACCTTCTAAGAACAAAACAAGCTGTTTCTCAATAGCTTCTCTTAACTCAGAGGAAGTGTGTAAAAGGAACAGATAATTAAAGATAATTACAGACTTTTCCCCTCACAGCATTTTACTGTATATAAAGCAGCAGCAGCCAATTTTTAATAAATATAGTTGTGTTTATTTTGCTTTTAGAATATGAACACTTACGTGTTCAAGTATTATTGGTTTAATCAGGATATGTTTTTTTGACCTGATGATCAAAAGAGAAGTTTAATTATTTACGCTTTGAACTCTAGACAAGTTAAAACTAGAATGACTGAAACCTAATACTAAAAAAAGCTATTTTTTTGTATTTTTTGTTGTATTTTGTACTTAAAATATCTTCATTAAGTGATAACAAAGTAAACTTCCTTGTTGTATGAAGCAAGTTTAATTGTAGGTAGGTTTGTGTGTCCTTTTTGTTTAGCGTTTTTTGCCCAGTTTTCCTCATATTGCTGACTAATGAATGCTGACCTAAACCAAGGATAGGCTTTCAGAACTATGGATGGTGATCTTAATTTTCTTATAATGTATCCATTTCTAATTAGGTCTATTCTTTATTTTGTTGGTTCAGCAGTATTAAGGATTGAGTAAAGCAAGTGAAAAAGAAGCAAATACTAAAATCATGATAAAATAATTTGGAAACAGCTTTGTTTGATTTTGCAATTAACGTGGTGATCAGAAACATCTAAAATGTGACGTAAAAGGCACCCATCAAGTAAACCATTGCAATTTAATTCATAAAGGAGAAATCTATTAATATATATCATCATATATGTTCTTTGAATGAGGGACTTTACAAATCCACCTGCGTTATTGTTTTCAGGCTTAAAGAAAAAAACAATTGTAGGCGTTTCAGTGTGTTTAGATTACTGACTCAACTTTTGGAAACATGCATTTCCTGATATTCAGCAAAAATCTCAATAGAATTGAGTGTTCATTCTAATATAATCTGCCCGCGACATTTATTACCACCAGGCAAACATCTGACTGATTTAAAACAGACTGAACCTCAGTTTCCCACTGGTGTTCTGTCTTATTGAACTGACCGTCACCGGGCGCGGTAGACCGAGAACGAGCACACGCTGGAAACCACTTGCTGCCTCCGTGTGAAGAACTCTGTGGAAATGAAATGATCTCCATATAATGGAAACATGGACTCTCCAACAATAGAGGCCGTTGTGTTGAGGCAGAGAGCTGGTTCCTTATTGCAAGCAGTTGAGGTTGTCTGCATACTGTCTGACTGCCGTTCCAGCTCTTTTGAGCAGAGCAATTATTAAAACGGTATGTTTTCAGTGAAAAGTGAAGCAAAACCATTCTGTCTGGTACAATGAAAAAAAAACCCTCTGTTTATAGTTTTCAGTCTACACAATTGCTCGGTGAAATTGGGTCCCCGCTTGCTGTTTGGATGACCTGTGTCCTTTGATGCAACAACAATAGCCAACATAAAGTAGGTCCCTTTAAAACGATCCGCTGTCCTCGCTGCAGGTGAAAGGACATTCAAATGTGACCAGTGCGACGCCACCTTTAAGAGAAAGGATACGCTGAACGTCCACATCCAGGTGGTGCACGACGGCCACAAGAAGTACAAGTGTGACCTCTGTGAGAAGGCCTTTGTCACCCCCTCTGTCCTGAAGAGCCATAAGAAGGTGGGTGGAAAGGGCTCAAGCCAGGCGGCTTCAATCACACACAGCCATTACATGTCTGCAGCTTCTTTTGACTGAGTTCACAGGAAATTGTGCTTGTACTTGTTTGAAACACGTAAGGTTCAAACAGAAGAAACTGGGCGCATTCTTATCAAACCTTACATTTCATTTTTTTTTTCTTCTTTTTCTCTTTTGAGAAACTGCCCTTTGAACATTTATAATGTTACAGCCTCAATCATCCATGTGATTTTTACTAGGTTGAATAAAAAAGGTTTTACTTTGATACATATAATTAAGTAGTTCTTAACAGAAATGTCAAAGGAAGTAAAACAAGAGAAATATGGCATGTAACACAGAGGCAATAGCTTCTTGAATCAATTTTTATGCAAATTAGTCCTTTTTGTAACTCAAAACTATAATTTTTCCAATCCTTATTAAAAATTACTCAAACAAAGCCAAAATATCTGGAGAATGTTAAATATAAAATAACGGTTAAAGATGTTGCCAGAAAGAGAGCTGAACTTTGTCTAGGACATTCTAACAGGAGGCCTTTCTGTTGGTTTTTGTGGATTGTTGTCATGTTGGAACTTGTCCCACACAGTTCTTATTGCCCAGTGTTAAGCTGCATTAATCATCCCTATACCTGGGAAAACATTCCTACATCATTTTGCTGATACAACCATGTTTTGTCTTAGAGATAAACTACTGAGGCTAATTTACATTGTCCATTTCTTTCACACTTAAAGCTGATATATACTTCGAAACTAGGTTGTCTGCTTAGGTGTGGCGGCGAACGCAGAAAAGTCCTCGCCCCCTCCGCAGACACTCTGCTGCGCCTCTTCCAAATTGTAGGTGACTGCAGACAGTGCCGCAGACAGGAGGCCTCTGATTGTCCAAATCTACAGGTGCTGGTCATAAAATTAGAATATCATGAAAAAGTAGATTGATTTCAGTAATTCCATTTAAAAAGTGAAACTTGTATATTATATTCATACATTACATACAAACTCATATATTTCAGATGTTTATTTTGTTTAATTTTGATGATTACAAATGACAACAAATGAAAATCTCAAATTCATCATATCAGAAAATTAGAATATTACTGAAGACCAATAAAAACAAAGGATTTATAGAAATGTTGGCCAACTGAAAAGTATGAACATGAAAAGTATGAGCATGTACAGCACTCAGTATTTAGTTGGGCCTCCTTTGGCCTGTATTACTGCAGCAATGCGGCGTGGCATGGAGTCGATCAGTCTGTGGCACTGCTCAGGTGTTATGATAGCCCAGGTTGCTCTAATAGTGGCTTTTAGCTCTTCTGAATTGTTGGGTCTGGTGTATTGCATCTTCTTCTTCACAATACCCCATAGATTTTCTATGGGGTTAAGGTCAGGAGAGTTTGCTGGCCAATTAAGAACAGGGATACCATGGTCCTTCAACCAGGTACTGGTAGCTTTGGCACTGTGTGCAGGTGCCAAGTCCTGTTGGAAAATGAAATCTGCATCTCCAAAAAGTTGGTCAGCTGCAGGAAGCATGAAGTGCTCTAAAACTTCCTGGTATGTGGCTGCGTTGACCCTGGACCTCAGAAAACACAATGGACCAACACCAGCAGATGACATGGCACCCCAAACCATCACTGACTGTGGAAACTTTACACTGGACTTCAAGCAACGTGGATGAAGTGCCTCTCTTCTTTTCCTCCAGACTCTGGGACCTTGATTTCCAAAGGAAATGCAAAATTTACTTTCATCAGAGAACATGACTTTGGACCACTCACCAGCAGTCCAGTCCTGTTTCTCTTTAGCCCAGGCAAGACGCTTCTGACGCTGTCTGTGGTTCAAGAGTGGCTTGACACAAGGAATGCGACAGCAGAAACCCATGTCTTTCATACGTCTGTGTGTGGTGGTTCTTGAAGCACTCACTCCAGCTGCAGTCCACTCTTTGTGAATCTCCCCCACATTTTTGAATGGGTTTTGTTTCACAATCCTCTCCAGGGTGCGGTTATCTCTCTTGCTTGTACACTTTTTTCGACCACATCTTTTCCTTCCCTTCGCCTCTCTATTAATGTGCTTGGACACTGAGCTCTGTGAACAGCCAGCCTCTTTAGCGATGACCTTTTGTGTCTTGCCCTCCTTGTGCAAGGTGTCGATGGTCGTCTTTTGGACAACTGTCAAGTCAGCAGTCTTCCCCATGATTGTGTAGCTTATAGAACTAGACTGAAAGACCATTTAAAGGCTTTTGCAGGTGGTTTGAGTTAATTAGCTGATTAGAGTGTGGCACCAGGGGCCATCAATTTTGAACCTTTTCACAATATTCTAATTTTCTGATATGATGAATTTGAGATTTTCATTTGTTGTCATTTGTAATCATCAAAATTAAACAAAATAAACATCTGAAATATATGAGTTTGTATGTAATGTATGAATATAATATACAAGTTTCACTTTTTAAATGGAATTACTGAAATCAATCTACTTTTTCATGATATTCTAATTTTATGACCAGCACCTGTACATCGCTCTACACTATGCGTATTTCCTGTTTGGTACCTTACCGGCTTGTTTTGTTTGTATGACCACCATTGTGGAAAATGACTCTTGAAGATGGACAAGCTAGAAATGCGAGGTGCGCGAGAATGCTGGGACCCTTTTTCCACCTGGATCCCCACTCTTTTCGCCCCCATCTTCCTCCGTTGTCGGACAAAATTGCCCCCACTTCCTCACCGCCTCGGCCGTATCTAGACCCACAGGTAGTCGGTGATTGTCCCTCTTGCGTTGTGGCGTGGAATAACGTGCAGACCACGCTTCAATATTGGGCATAAATCAAAAATATCTGCAACAAGCTCACTGCGACACATTGCTGCGGGAGGATAACCAGCCCTTTAGCATTTCACATGTGCAGTAAGTCAGAAAGTCCCATTTAAAAAAGTGAAACGAGAGAACCTTCTTCCATTTGCTTATGGATCTACATCTCAGAGTCATCTCAGAGAAGGTGTTCAGTTGTACCATACTCTCTCCGTTTTCCTGGTTTGCATTTATCAGTATTCAATGTTACTCAACGCGAGGGATTGTATTTAATAACCCAAACCTGGTTCAAGTTGTCCATTTCCTCCTCCAAACTGCTTCAACTGTTTAAAATCCCAACTGAATTCTTGTCATCATAAAGCAATACAGTCAACTTCAGTAATATTGCAGATTATTGAAGTCAGTACAGTCATCCATCTTCATTTCTGCTGCTTTTAAAATGAATTCTTTTCTAGATTTAAAATGGCAGTTAGTCCATTAGCTCCGCAGGGTTTCAAAGCTCCAAAAAGATCTCCCTGCAGATTATGAGCCCTAAATCTGACGGTGTCCAGCGTGCTTATGGATCAAGATTGAAACCAAGCAGGTTCTTGGCTCACAGCAAAGAAAAACTCTCACAACAGTAGGACCGAAGACAGCCACTCTGATGTGCCTCGCCGCTGACCATGTCTGGAGGCTGACTGAGGCCTGGCCTTGATCAAAGTCGGGCTGCCAAGGAGACGACAACTTGCTGGCTGTGTTTACATCTGCCTCTTTTGACCACAACACTTCAATGAAGTCTTTAAAGCTCTGCAACTGCTTATACAAACTCTGCTCCCCAAAATATCATCACAGATGTGGAGCACAAGTGTTTCTCTTTAAGCCAAACATATAGTAAATATATTCATTGAATAATGAAGCATAGATATCATTGTAACCTGGATATTTGATTGTAATATGAGCTTTGACATAAAAAGTTTACCCTTTCTCTTAAGAGCTTTAGAATCCCTCGCATTTCCAACTGTATGGGAACAGTAACAGTATTTACAATAACATGCAATGTGCAGGACATCAAACTTGGCCAAAAACATAATGCCAGACTTTTTTTTTTGTACATAAAACTAAGAAATGGCTTCATTTTTAATTCATCAATCGTGGCAAATCTTCTCTGTGGAGAAATAAACACCTAAAAATTGTAGAAATCAAATAAATGCAGTTTCTTTTTTAACTGTATTCATAAGTCTTTTAACTTTTAATTTATAGTCACTTTACAACCATTAAGATCAGTGAATTTGAATGTGAGTTCAAGTAATAGACCTACATAAAGCACTGCTTTATGATAAAACCAAAGAAAAGGAGCATAACATTTTCTAAATGTTTTAAAAATCAGAATGGTACGTTGCACAATTGCGTTTAGCCCCCTTTATCAATATATACCTGTGTAGAAAATCCAGGGCAACCAATCAGAGAGGCAGATTAACTGGTGCTTTAATCTCAGTCTGAATACAGCAGACCTGCTGTTGCCTCAGAGGCTTTCAATCAAGAACACTATTGAACAAACAAGCATTGTAAATATTGAAGAATGACACAGCCATGTTTCAGATGAAAACTGGAGGAGCTAAAATCAGGATTTGGTTATTTAACAATAATGAAAGCTTGAACATCTCAGAACAATTGTCATCTTATAATGTTCCAATGAAACATGGTGTTGGCAGCATCATGCTGTGGGGATGCTGATTTTTTAGCAAGTAAAGGAAAAGTAGTCAGAGTTTAAAGGAAAAAAAAGATGGCAAGAAATGAAGGACAATCTTTTAAAAAGTCTGTTAGTGGCTGTAAGACTAAACCTCTAGAAAAAACAAATAAAGACCTAAAATATGTTGTTTTTGATTAAGGCGTTTTCCTCTCTTAGAATAGTCCAGATAAAGTTTGGACCAAAGTCTATTTTACAATTTGTGCTGGCTTAGATGCAAAAATGTGAAAAACCTTTAGGGATTCAATACATTTGTAAGGCACTGTATGTCAAAGTGTCTGATATTGCATTTTTATTTTCAGCTCTTTCACACAGTTTATCTTACACCATTTTTTTTTTTTTGACGTCTTTTCTTGTTTTTTCAAAGGGTTCTCCACAACTGAACAAATAAAACCATTAAGTAGTCTCTAACTTCTCCACAGTTGTTGGCAAAGCCCTTTGTCAACATGCACAAGTATTAGATGAGAGCTTGATAGCCTCTGGAGGCTTAATCAAGTGTCAGTTTACTGAGTGGGTGCTCCTGCAGGAGAAAGAAGAAGAAAACAAGATCCCATGGTTAAGAACCACTTTAAATGACTTGCATTATGAAGGCTTATTTACGGTCCTTTTGTGCCACATTAGAATAAAGTCAGCAGTCATTCTGGATGCTGATGCATTACAGCCATGCTCCAAGTTATCTGGATTATTTTGCAGGCTTCTTGTGTTGCACTAGATGTATCCTTAGTGAGCCTTGGTTCATGTTTTATGAGAGGGTGCGTGCGTGTCAACATGAACATGCATGCCAGCTACACTGTGCATGTTCTACCAGATAATCTCACGTCTGGAAGAATGCACAAATGAAGGAAAATTGCTGGGTTGATTTTTGGTTTATGCATTTGAAAAAAAAAAATGAACAAAAAAACCCCACGCTGTAATTACAAACAACCGTCAATAAATTCCACACTTGCGATGTTCCCATTTGCAAGCATTCCCTCGGGCTCTCTGTGTGTGAAGGTAAAATACCGGTGAGGGTTTGTCTTTTGCACAAACTGCACTCTGCAGCATTGATGCATCTGGGACGCATATGTTCATATCAGTGGATTTGTTTGTCCATTGTTATGTGTGAATCTGCGTGTCCATGCGTGTGTGTCAGCTCCTCTCTGAGCATGTGTGTGTGTGTGGATGCGGGTTTTGTAACAAAACACCCGAGGTGTCAAGAGGGACGCACGCGGTGGGGCGATGGAAAGAAGGATGGGGCCCCGGAGAGGAGGTGTTCCTGTACCGCTGTACTGCTGTTGAAACTGTCGCTCTGAGTTTGGGCCTTTCCGTCTCACGGTTATTTCACATAATTTACTGCAGTCTGGGAGCAGGAATCCAGAGCTGAGAGCTGCGTGTTCAGCCTGGTTTGGTCATAGAGCTCAGTCCTGGTTTTTGAGAATAAAAGGAGGAGAGAAAGAAGGAGGAGTTGGTTAAAAACACACCCCTGCATCCTTGCAGAGAGGAGCTCTTGATCCTGGCAAATCTCCATCATCTGTGTGCTGTCTCTGATCCTGCAGAGCTGATGTCAGAAAATGCATCTGCTCTAACTAGGAAAATCTTTAGGAACAATAAGTGGATATGTCTGGATAGCTTTGTCCACAGAAATGAAGCAGTAGATTCAGTTGGATGAATGGGTGATGAGTTTCTAAAAAAGCTCAAACATTTTCTAATAATAAAATCCATCAGTCACAGTATATAATGTTTTCATAGTACTGGAAGAATCAGAGTAAGGTTTCTGAATGTTTTTTCCTATTATCTGCCAACTGTCTGTTTATCGTTTCTCCTCTAGACTCACACAGGGGAGAAGGAGAAGATTTGCCCTTACTGTGGACAAAAGTTCGCCAGCAACGGCACGCTCAGGGTTCACATCCGCAGCCACACAGGTCAGTCCTTAAATCTGCTCAAATGAACTTGTTCCTGAACACTGGTTTAGATGGTCCATCATCTCAACACCACATTCAATGCTCATCACAACTGACTGATTGTTCTAAAATGTCTCAGAAAGATCATCCAGTTTAACCGTCAGGGCAGTTTGGAAGACGTCCGAATATTGGGGAGATGCAACATGTTGTAGCACTGCTTTCATCAGCCTTTGCACCCCCACAAATCTGAGCCCTGGATCTTCATCAAACTGCCTTAAACTAAAGCTACACATTCCTGTGTGTTTCCTTACCAACAGACTGGTGCAGAGGCCTGGCTCGGCCACACAGACTCTTCTTGGCTTCCATCCCCTTCTTTTTCTTTTTCTTCTCTCTGTCTCCCAGCCTGCTGCTGGCTGTCTTCTCTTTTTTCTCATTCCCACTAGTAGAGCCTTGCAAAAGTCTTCACACCCACTGAACCTTTTCCCATTTTGTCACATTATATATAAGCGATATAACAAAGGAAGATTCTGGCTGAATGTTAGGGGTTGTTGTCCTGCTGGAAGGGGATCTGCTCCATTTTCTAGTCTTTAGCCGCCTCTGACAGCTAAAGTTCAAAACATACCCTCCACCTCTTAAAATCTATCCTCCCCTCATTTCTAACCAGTTTGTGTCCCTGATGATGGAAACCGAACCAACTGTAATGATAGTGCTATCACCTTGTCTCACAGCGGTACACAGTCACTTGTTTTCTATCTCATCAAGCATTTAAAATTTTCCATTTTGGTTTCCTCTAACCAAAACCTTTTCATTCACATGTTTGCTTGGTCTTCTATATGATTTGGACCAAACTGAAAACAGAAAGTTTAATAGTTTTCTTTAAAAAAAGCTTCATTGTTACGGATCTTTCATAAAGTTCAGATTTATGAACTAAATAGAGCTGCACAGCGGGGGTGCAACAATCATGCCGGGTCATCTACTTCATCAGGTTTGAATCCCGACCCATGGACCTTTGCCACACGGCTTTCCCCTTTCTCTCTGCCCTTTCAAAATAAAGGCAACAATAATGAATTGCACTGTTTTAAAATCCCATACATAATTTTATTCATACATTAACGTTTGATTTGGTCTTTCGCATAAAACCCCTCCTAAGTAAAACTGCTGGTTGTAATGTAGAAAAGGTGGAAATGTTTTAACTTCTATATATTAAACACTTTTATATTAATATATTTGAACTTTATTGATTTCACATTGGCGAAATTTACCTCTGTATTTAACTCATCCCCTTGTGGAGCAGTGAGCTGCCATCATGGACGCCTAGAGAGCAATTGGGGGTTAAGGGTCTTGCTCAGAGACCCAGAGTGGCAGTCTGTGGGAACTCAGAACTTCAGGATTCCAAGCTCTATGCTCTCACATCTAGGCTGCCACTCCACGTTTTATATATATAAAAGAAGAAAAAGGTTGTATAAATTCTTTCAAGACTGTCATTTTTCCTCCATTTTCCTGTGTTACCTTGTGAACTGTAAAGTGCCTTGAGATGACATGTGTTGTGAATTGGCGCTATATAAATAACCTAAATTGAATTGAATTGAACCTTTAGTGTTGCACCGATACTGATACCGGTATCGGCGAGTTCTGACAAATAGGGCACCGATACCATTTTGAGAGCCAAAAGTTTATTCAACTATTGTCACCCATTCCAGGTAGGCAATAAAAAGTTCTACTGGATTCACTTTGTTTTAGTCTTTTTCCTGCTTCACAAAGGTAGGCAGCAGCTTGACATGAAGCCATGATGGCAAATATTTTACATCCAAGTAGCATGCAGTTCTTCATAAATACACACACACATCAAATTCTACAGATGGTGACGGTATGGTGTCGGTATCGGCCAATACTGCACAGCCAGGTATTGGGGCCAAAAAATGGCATCGGAGCAACACTAGTTACCTTTACAATGTCACACTTTGATCATGTTTCGCAGCAGAGTTGTGGATGAAGCATCTGTGTGTCGCAGCGTGGACTTCATCTTAAAAAATTAACCTGATATTCTCACCAGCCTTAAGCACAGATCCACATACCTAAGTTTTCCACTGACTTATAAAAGCCCATCCGACGGTCATTGCAGCTCCACATAAGACTACTGTGTCAAAGTGTGTGTGTATGTTGAGTGGTGGTCCCTAACCAGCCCACCACACTTTGTCAACAGCCCCTTTTGTATCCGTGTGCGTGCCAGCCACGTATTTGTGTGTTTGCGTACATGTGTACGTGTGAAGGACAAACCAACAGAAAGAGAGAATGTATACCAGTGTGGTCCGCAGGCCGCTCTGATTGTATTTATATGGCATAAACAAAAGAGAGGAATGCTGGGGGAGGGGTGGGAGCCGAAGAGACACCTAAAAGAAAGAAAGGAGCAAACAGAGAAAAGACCACTCCAAGAAAGCATCCAGCCGGATGACCTGCAACCCCGACTGGCTGTAAATCTGTCCTCTTGTTCTCTGGTCAGGTTCCTTTTTACTTGTTTGTTTGTTGTTTTCTATGTGAGGAGAGAAAAATAATCGTTTCCCTCACCGGGCGACAGTCTGACACCTTATTATCGGGGTGACATATATTGGCATTCAGATCATGTTACTCAGCTGCACAAATATACTACAGATGCCGTAAAAGAGTTGAATAAAGGAAAATAAACAAAACTTAAAGACACCTTTATTTCCAGCCTGACCTTAAGTAGAGGCCCTCAAATATCCCGCTCCTCTGAAAGGCAGACAGGAAAGCTTGATCTTGTTTATCTTCCTGCTTCACAGGAACAAGTCAGCATTGATTATTTACCTGCTAAACACTGAAGACTTTGTTGGGAATCCCTTGAGATTCCCTCCCCACCCCTATCACTTTACGTGAAACACTTACAGAGCTTCACCAGGAAACTCAGCAACTGATCAGGACAAAGTGTGAAACAGATTAATGAGAAATCCAAACGAACAACGCTGGCCGACGTTGAGCTGTACAAAAGGCATTCGCTGTGTGTTTGAGTTGGATTTGGTTTCAGTTTCATTTGGTTAGTACATCATGTTGAGCTCGAACAAATTAGCTGAAGTGCCACAGACACTGGAATCTTCTGAGAAAGCAGCCGTTTTTATGAGATCACTGACAACCCATGAAATGTGAGCTGTCAAAAAGCTGGACCAAAACGTTGCGGAGCTTAGCAGTCATGATGGATGTTTCTATCATTTTCTAAATTATTCTTTCTGGCCCAGTGGCGATGCAGATATCTCCTACTCCACATCACAGCTCAGTGAGAGCAGATTTTCCCACCACGTGTGCCACGTTGTGGTGAATACCCATCGGCGGGTCGTTAAAAATGATTTTTGCCAAGGGAAATGTTGACAGAACCCAGTGACACGCTGTCATATTGACATCATAGGACATGTCATGCTGGCAGCTAGGATCAGCGTTAGCCCAAAAGCTGTGTTGCAACAAACTGGTGTGTGTTTCAGTCCATGGAAAAATGAATCCGGGGACATTTGTATCACACATATTTGAGTCTGAGTGTCCTTGTCTTTGCTTACATTCAGTGTCTAAAAAGAGCATTTATAAACATATGGACTTAGGCAAGATTTGGGAAATGTTGCAGGGATTTCTGCAAACGGAAAATGCAGAAATAGAAGGCAAAGATGTCAACTGTCGAGGCTAGGATGGGTCTTTGTTGCTCAGCAGGGATGAAGGATGAATTCTCAATCAATACATATAGTGCTTTTTTATTATGAGTATTAATTTTACGTTTTGCTACAGTATGACTTAAACTTTAGAGACTATCACAAAACTTTTATGTTATAGACCAACACATAGTAGAGTGTAATTGTTAAAGTGAATATAAGTCTGTAGGGAGCTTGCATTAATTCCCTTTGTTATAAAGTGCTTTCCATCCTCACTTGTGTGGAAAAAGTGATAATTAGCTTGAGCTCCACTTTAAAATGACTTTTCCACAAACAAATTAAAGCACCGAGTGTTTCCCGGTACCTCTGGAGGAGTTGCACAGCTCTGGCCAGAGAAGACTATTAGTCATGCATCCCACATAGTTGGCCTTTATGGATACCTGGCAAGAAGAAGGCCACGATTGAAACCAAAGCCATAGAATGTCCAGTCTGCCAGTTTCACAACAGACATATCCAAAAAGTGTAAGAAAATTCTCTGCTCAGATGAAACAAGAATGTAACCATTTAGCCTAAGCAATATGGGCCTGGTCTTCAAAGATCCCACATAAGGGGTACTCAACTGCATTCGGCAAAATAAAAAGTGCACATCTGATAAGTGTGCATGCTGATCTGCAAAGATCGTAAAGCTTAAGACGTGCAAAACCAGTCTGTGCTTTGGGAATGAGTGAATTGTGTGTGCCACCGGCAGTTTGTTGATAAATATTACTTAGAAATATATATTCCATATTTACTATGTTTACGCATTAGTATGTTAAAGTTCTACAAACCAAATTAAATAAATAAAAAAAAAGACGAAAATATTAAAATAAAAATGACCCTAAATCTGATGCTTGAAATTGAAGCATAGGCATGTTCTGAACGGCCTTATTCAAAGTCCACACCTTAATTAAGAGAATCAAGTAAGAAAGTAAAAACACTACTTTTTTTTTAAAGTGTGACAGTTTTTACTTTTGGCAGGAGAAGATAAAAAAAACTCTGTCTCTAAACACAAAGACTTGCAGCAGTGATCAGATTTAATTAAAGTGGTTTCACAACGTATTGACTCAGCAGAATGAATACAAATGTGTGCCACACTTCTCAGAATCTTATCACAAGACATTTAAAGTACATTTTCTCCTGTTTATTTATAATATGGTGTGAAGATTCCAATAAAATACAACAAACTTTACATTTTTAAAGTGAGAAAATGTGGAAAGTTCAAAGGGTAGGAACCCTTTTCCACAGGCTGCAATTGAGACAATTAACTGTGTAAATTTAGGTGCGTTAGGAAAATTCTTTGGATATTGAATCATCCAATGAAAACTATTTAGCTGC